TAATCTTTGTGAAAAAGTGTCTGGAGTTTCCTGGTATGCCTTTACAGGATGAAATTTAAAAAAAACACGCACGGTATGACCGTCTCTCGCTTGTAAGATCTTCAATCCGTTTGCTTCTTCCCTTATCCTCCTCCATCTCTGCCTTTCCCTGGTGGCACAAGGCAGCATGCACATAAAGCCAAGTTCACACCTCATTTCTTTTGGGGAAATATTTCAAGCAAGTACCTTATCTCCTTTTATAGCTTGCCAGATGAAATTATCTTAACTACTTCTTTGGCACAGGAGACGTGGGACAAGAAAAACTATTTAAATGCTTGCGGTAAGAGTAAGAGTTTATCGATTTCTTATCTACAGATCTTTGAATGCCAAATGAAAAGTGAAACCTGGTCCCATATAAAAGGTTTAGAAACACTAATCTTAATACAGATTTTGCTACAAGGCAGATAAAAATGACTCCCACTTCATCCACCACCAGGCTCTGTGCCGCAGGGTGATGTGGCGGCCATTCTGGGCCAGCAGCCTCGCTACACAACTGGTCTCATAGTGAAGTGAGAAATTGCTTCATGGGCCTTTAGGGGGGCCAGATTGTCCAAGCCCAGACTGGAATTACAAACCATGGGACTGTTAATGACCAAATGGTTGGGATCTTGGTCTAACATCTCATCTGAGGAATGGCATCTCCTACAGCGTAGTGTTCTGTCCTGGGATATTGAACTGGAAATTTCACTTACTGGCATAGCATCAAAACAGCAGCAGCCTGGCTTTCTATACAGGCCTCCTAGTCCCAGAAATATCCTACCATCTTGACAGAATACAATGAGAAGCATTTGATGCTGTGGACTGATCATCTCTGCCTAATGTTCCAAATCATTGTTCTGAGGTGAGGAGTTTAAAGTTAGCAGATACGGGCCATATTGGCAAAGTGTTTGGCACCAAATTCAGTTTCACCTATAACACAATAATACTACAGTAATGCAAATAAAAAAAACAGAACAAACAGTATAAAGTGGTTGATGGGGGATTATTTGTACGGCTCCATGCTTCTTACATACTACTTCAGTTTTGTTTTCTGCAGAAGCGAGGTGTAACGTTTGATAGCTACAGCCAAAGGCACCTGTTTGCCCCCAGCTCATCGATAGAAGCAGAACGTTCCAGCTGTAGATGTAGATGTAGCGTCAGCTGTGTCAAATTTTTTAATCCGTTTCTTATCAAGCCCACTATCTTTTTTTGCCCTAGTTTGTGAGTGAATCACTCCCGGTTCTATTTTCTGTAACAGATTATGTGGGCCCAGATTATGCTTATAAATATCTCAGTGCATGACAGGTGAATGACAACTATCAGTACAGCTAAGAGTCTGTATGGGAGATTCCTTTTGCAAGTGCATAGCTATGAGCGGGTCTCCAATGGCTGATGGAATTCTCAGAAGATGCACATGTAGCTCCAGAGCTAATTGATAGCAGCAGTGTATAGGCAGTACTGGATGTCAGTCCTTTCCCAGCAGTGCATGATTTAATTTGTGTTCTGTTGCAGCAGTGACTGAGACTTTATGGAGAGTTTGGAGAACGTGCATTCCTTGCTGCAAGCATGCAAGATCTGTTTGACGAGTGCGTTCAGATAAGGGATTTTCAGGGTGCTCCTCACTGGCTGAGCCGAGTATTCCCCTAGAACCACAACCCAGTGAGCCTTTTTTTTATCCCAGGGAACACACTGGGATTTTTAATGACCACCGAGTCAGGACCTCTGTCTATGTCTCATCCGAAGGTCAGCACCTTTTTACAGTATAGTGTCCCCAAACTGGGGCATTAGGACCCACACAGACCGCAGGGTGAGTGCCCCCTACTGGCCCCACTAACATCTCTTCCAGCAGCAACCTTGGCTTTCCCAGGAGGTCTCCTATCCAGGTACTGACCAGACTCACAGCTGCTGAGCTTTAGTGGGCTGCCAGCTGTGAGCTTCAGGGTGATATGTCTGCTGGCTTACATATGGATGGAAATGCAGAGTTTGTTAAATCAAGCAATTTTATGATTATTCCAAATGAAAATACAACATCCTACAAGCTATCATTTTTGTGATTAAGTCAATTAATCTGCTAAATTGATCCCACCCCACATGCTCCAAGTGCTCGTGCTTTGGTTTAAGAGTGACATGTCAGACCTGCTAGAGTAGACTGTGTTCAGGTGTAGTAATAGCACAAGTGAGGCTGTGAAGTCCAAATAGGCTGCAGTTAGATGACTACATCACACATGCAAGAGCATCACAAATCTACAGTCCTGACTAGGAAGAGAAGGCACTGACACCTTCCTAACAGAAGCTGTCTGTTTATAAAAACAACTGATTTTTAGCATGCAAGTCTGTTTTGAAAAAAGGAAAGGGGTTTCTCCCCTTCCTTTTGAGTTTTTGGTAAGACTTTCTTTGCAGGTAACACAGTAAAATTGGTTGTTGTTGTTTTCCTAAAGACATCACTTTGCAGAAGTTTCTTTCAGTGATTTCAAATAACCTTTTTAGGGCATCCAGTCATTAAGTTCTACAATGATGAATGGTAGTGGATGCCGCTTAGATTCTCCTGTAAGAAAAGAGATTAAGAAATGTGATTATTCTGGGGAGAGCCATGCAATATTTGCTTGCATTCAAAAGATTATTATGCATAAAACGTCCTACACCATCTTGCACAGACGATCATTTTCTTTGACTTTTCTTAAACCCATTTGTCAGTGTTTATTTTTGGTACTGTGTTCTGAGCTTGCTTGAGCAGTTTAATTAAAACATTAGGAAATTTGTAGATTGAGCCAAGACTTTTTTTTTTACTGCATAATGCAATCAATCCACTGACTCACAAAGTGAAAAATAGTGCCCTTCCCACTTTGGAGCTGAGAAATCTGCATTTTACAATAACATTATATTTTTGTATACAGTGTCTGACCAGTACCTGAACAGGAATTGATGCTGGGCAGAAATTGGTTGTATGTGGTGCAAACATGGAGAGAGAAAATATCTTACTAAATTAATCTTACCTAATTTAATGTCTCTTCATCTCAGACAACTTGCTGACTGACTCCCTGCAAAAGCCCTTGGAGCTAATGATATCTGTATACTGAATATATTAAAATATCCTGCCACTGAAACGGGTAAAGACAGAGAAAAAACAGTTAATGCTTACAGAATGGTTACAGACAAGAGGCAGCCATTTGGTCAGGTTTGCTTGGTTGGTTGTTTGTCCAATTAAGCTTACTGATTGGAGAATCCTACCTGTCCAGTTCTTATAGGATTCCAGGGTCTCGGGTTCAACATGAGCATCATGGCACTGTGGCTTGTTCCATTCTCCCACAGCCCTTTGTGTAAAAACTTCCTGTGTAAAAGTTTCCTCTTATTTTCTGCCCTACATGGACATGCATTTAAGTTTATTTATTGTTCTTTACCCCTCTTTTTTGTTAAGTTTGAAGCATCTCTTTGCTTTCATTTTATCAAGAAATTTTAAACACCTGAATCAAGTCTGCACAAGGTTGTCCTTGACTGAATGTAGCTTTGATTTAAGTCCAGTTGTAAATTAGGACTGAAGCTTATTTATGGAAACTGAATTTCTTCTTTGAAACTCCAGCAAACTTTGTACGGTTGTCAATGTTATTCCTGAAAATGTCGCTAAAAGTGGGAAGATTAGTTATTCACTGTAACCATCAATGGAAATTAGTCTGCATGACTGAACTACTGTTGATTTTGGAATTTATTCCTTAATCTCTAAAGGGACAGAACCATTATTGAATGGGCCCTGTATCTTCTGTGATATAGCTGCCTGGTGCCATTCTCCTTTAACATAATGGAAGCTTCAGGCATTAAGTGCTTAGGACACCTTTTACAATTAAGTCCAGAATGTGGACAAGAGCCAGCTATTATAAAGAGACTGATCATGTAAATTACCAAATGCTTGTCTGTGTGCAGGTTTAGAAATATCAGATCTTGCCAATATGCTCATAACATTTGTGGTCTGGTTATAAATCATTTGATGGAAAGTTAGGGTTTATCAGCAAGCAGGGCCCATCATAAATACCCAAACCTTGAAAAAAGATTAAAAGAGATGTGCAGTTAAATATACTCCCTGTGATAATCTGAGGTCTTCGAAAACAGATGTTAGAAAAGACGTTCTGTTAGGAGAACTTTTACATGTTATTCCAGCCTCAAGGACCAAGTTGATGGAGCTCACTCTTTGACTCCCCTTTTCAGCCTCCAGAAATATGTAGAATACATTAGGCCATATTTATAAAGCAGTTTTCCACTCCACCAAGTTTACCACATTTGTTTGCAAAGAAGAATCGGCTCCTAATTTTGAAACATAAAAAAACTGCCTATAAAGACATTCCAATAAGCATTCTCAAAGATTTATTTTCTGCTTTTACAACCTAGCCATCTTTTTCTTAAACCGGTGGTGTAGACTTTATAAAATAGAACCTCTGGCCAAAACTGCGTGACGCAGTACTATGTAAACTATTCATCTTTTTATTATACTGTAAAACTTAATACATTTCTGCAGCTTTCATTTTTTCTTCGTGATGTAACTCATTCCGTTTTGATGCTAGAAACCATTAAAAGCAGACAGGGATAAGGGTCCCAAAACATAACACTGATTTCCTGGAATGGTGATGTTAGTGGACCTGCATTTCTTCAGTGCTGTAGTACATACACCACCGAGAGCCTCACTCGCAATTACAGCTGCTGTTTACAGCACCACATCCACACGGATGGCATGCTGGTCTTGCTTGAAACCATTTTTTCAGCTCTGGCCTTTATAAATTCTTACTTATTAGTCAGATCTCAACCCAGCTGCGGTTTGCTCTTGTTTTTCACTACCGTAGCAATGAGCGATCTGCGATTTCTCATTTTGTTTTTGGTACCGGGGTCCCAGTCATGCCCTGTGAGCAGACTGGTTTGGCTCATTAACTGTAGTGCGGGCTTCCCCTCAGGGGACGAATCCGGACCGATGTGACCTTCTCTTCTGCTCGTTGCCCCAGGGCCAGTCACCAATGCCTTCATCATGCCAGCCCCTGCCAACATGTTCCTCCCGGACGGCCGCCCCAGCGTCCCACTGCCACGTTTCAGTAGGCACCTGAACACCACAGAGCAGGGAGAGGGTCCCGAGGCAGGGGGGGTCAGCCTGCGCCTTGGGCTCCACACACAGGTGAGTCCCTCATCGCTAAGAGCAGGCCCTCCCTCAGGTCTGGGAAAGATTTCTCGGGCTTTCCTCGTTAATCTCAGTGCCGCCATTGTGAGCACAAGTGTTGTGGATCATCAGCAGTTGCTCATGAGTGTTTGAGTGACCATCTCATTAAACAGGGCCTGATAGGTGACCCTTGTTTTCCTGTGTGATGAATTCAGAAGTCTAGAAGAGGCAAAAACAAAGACTTTACAAATGCACTTTGAGCTGTTTTGTCAAGGTGTGTCATTTTGCGTCACGGTATCTTTTAGTCTTTTAAAAGTGCAGCTGCTCCCTGCACCGCATGAGCAAAGCGTCTGCCGTGAGCAGGTCTGCTTGGCTCTGTACATCGCATGTTGGGTTCATCCCAGGCTTTCATGCTTTTTAAAATATTGTTCAACCATGCATGCATCATCCTCATGCATTACTTCTGCTTATTTCTAAACCATTTAAAAAAAGCAAAAATGGCATTGACTCACTGCATGGCAGTCGATGAAGGACGGTGAGGGTTGCTCAGGGGGCCGCAAATCAGCTAACAGCGTGAATGGTACAGCGCACATGATCGAAAGTGGCAGTCTGCCCTACTGGGGCGGGTTCTGGGGTAATACCTGAAACCTGCCCCTGCGCTGGGACTGCCTCTTCGTTCAGGTGGGCCAGTGCCGGCAGATCTACACTGGGCCGCAAGCCCGCGTCTGGAGCGCTTTCCCGTTGGCAGGCACAAGTTTGCGATTGGGGCGGGGATGACGCAGCATTTTTCCCCGCTGGGCTCCTGACTTTCTAGAAGTCATGTGCTCGTGGTGCATCGTACGGATGTCTGCTGACTCATCGCTTCGATGCCCTATAAATAAAACAACCGTCACCCCTCCTGCAGTTGCCACTGAGGCCTCTAAAACATCAAAGAGCTGTCTATTCCAGCAGCATTTTAGCACATAGAAACCCTTTACAATTAGATTTATTTTTAATGGGCTTTAAAAATTGCATAAAAGCATTGAAACAGGGTGCATTAACATTTGTTAAGGGCTTAGAGGGACTTTTCTACAGTGTTGTGCTTTATAACGCCTATGGGCATTTGATTAACATGGCGATCCTCTACCTGTTCTGCCTTAATGCTGATTTCTGCAATATGTGGCTGGATACTTAAACAGTATGAAGACTTTAAGGTTCCCCACTTCTATTGTTTTGCTCACGTATGGACATGGGTTCCATATGTATCCATCCATCTGTTACAGGGGAGCCTATTCAGGCAAGCAGTGAGCACAAGGTGGGGTACGCCGTGGACAGGACGCCAGTCCATCGCAGGGCGGACACAGACACACTAACACCAGGGCCAGTTTTCCCTGAAGCCAATTAACATGCCAATATGTCTTTGGACTGCAGAGGAAACTCATGTAAACATGCGGAGAACATACAAACTCCACACAGATAGCACCCCAGGTCCGGAGTTGACCCCAGGAACCCAGTGATACTAACCAGTGTGCCATCATGCTCTCCCCCATGTATCCATTCTCCAAAAAAATCAAGAAATGTTCAGATCCCCTCTGCTAAAATACTGTCTTCTACCGCTGGTGGCTATTTCAGAATGGCAAAAGGCCACAGCTGCCAAAAACTGATGCTCCTCTCTCTCTGAATCACACACTAGTTGCCTTCTGGAGGCGCGAACTCCTCTTTGTCCCTCTCCCAGAGGCTTGCTATGTACATGCAGGCTAATCTGTGTGCCCCAGGGACTGTCGTGTCTCCTGAAAGCTCATTTGCTGAAGACATTTAAAAAACAAAACAACAAAAAATGCATTCCTGTATTCAGCCCAAGGGCATTTGAAAAATTGCTGCTCTGATCATGCAGCAGAACAGTCACAAATTAAGCTGCTCCAAAATGGGGATTTAATTTTAGTTAAGGATTATTGCTGCATTTATGTGGTGTTGCACACAGTCGTTGGAACACTTACTGTGAAGTTTAGCAATCAAGAGCTCACCAGGAACAGCCTCCACTTTCCTCTTCTCTTCTGAACTGCCACCAGACGAGTTCCGTCTTTCCAGGGACACTTGCTTGAGTTTACAGGTCTCAGTCGGTTTCCTCATTTGATTGAAGACGTGTGAGTAGGGAGCTGCGTCAGCATGCGTAGGCTGCAAAGGAACAGGAAAAGGTTCTGAAAGGTTTGATGCTGAAACTTAAGGTAAAGAAAAGAAACAGTATCTGAACAGATACCTGAAGAAGGCTCACAGTCGACACAGTGTTTCTTTTCTTTGCCTTTCAGCATGGAATGAGTCTTGACCTGTTCACTTATTTGATGCTGCTAATACTTTTTTTTTTAGAATCACCGCACAGTTGCTAATTGACTTGTATCTCCCTGGATGACTGGAGGCAGATTGGAACAGTATTGTTCTTGTGCTGTAGAAAGTCAAGCTTCCAGATTCAGCAATGTATCAACGTCAATGTGCCTAAAAGAAATAGACACAATAATACAGGGAACAAAGAAATACCGAAATGGCTACCTCAGCTACACCGAGTTCTTCGCACAGGAACATGTATAGAAAAAAGGCAGGTCAATAAATTTTGTCCCATTCTGAAATCCTAACTAAGAGCTTTGTCAGCGTCCTTTGGCAATCCCAGCTAAATTACAGGAATATTTAGGCCAATGCCATAAAAAAGTTATACCTGCGATCGTAGCTGCCTTTATGAAGCCATTATGGTTTTTGCTCATGTAAATTAAAGTGTGATTGATGACCTGTTATTATTCCCTAGGCTTTATTTCTTTTTATTATGTTTTCTTTTCGAATCGATAGGAAACGTTTCAGTGCCCGGAGGCTCCTTATTGCTATTTTAGCATGTCTGCGGCTTGTTAAAGACTTCAGTGTTGAAAACCTTAGTGTGGTTTGTTGGGACTCTTTATTTCGGGGGGTTGAATAATGAGAAGGCTTTCTCCCCAGTGCACAGAAATTGTTTCCTGAATTAAGTCGGTGATAAGCCAAACAAAATGGCAATAGCCCAGATTATTAAACAATTTCTCCTCCATCTTAGGGCTCAGAAGAATCCTATCTGGAGAAGGCTGAAAAGCTATACTCCATGATGTGTGCTATCACAGACAAGGTAAGTGAGATCTGTGTTCCAAGACTGGACTCAAAGGGTCCCTATCTTGGGGACGTTTTCAGTGCTGGGTCCCCTGCTCACTGAAGCACATCCTGCTAGCCCTGCAAGTTCATGATGACAGCGCTTAGGTGCGCTCCACGTTCTGAAGGCTGTAATCTTGCTACTTTTAATAATTTGTATTTGTTAAATTCTATTGAGCGGTATTGCTTGAAAAGTCTCTTTTCAGTCATAAAAAAGATTCAGCTTAAGAGACATTTATTTCATGTGCATTTCTAAGTAGTTTGGTGAGGAATAAACATTCATCACAGGCAAGCCTACTTATTAAACATTAAATAGTCTGTAATGGCTCACTTTTCAAGAGCACTGTTAGATTTGTTGCTGTTACATCACATGCCTTAACTAGGGACATAGGTACTTGAAATGACAGGCTGCAAGCACATTCACTTATTAGGCCTGCATCTATCCTTTTAATATCCTCTTCAAGGAAATAAAGCCCTCAAAACTCACCTTACATATAATGGAACTAGAAGGCTCTTAAACAAGCTTGCTTTATTTAGAGCAAATTCATGACATGACCAGATGCAATCTCCAGCACCAAGGAAGTATGAAAATGTTAAGCAACATAGAAACCTGTCGTTGCTTTCCTTGAGGCCGATGGAGTTTTGTATGAGTTTCTGCAGCTGTGGTTTAAGTGTCAGCCAGCCCTCTGTGTTCGCATTGTTGTCCGAGTGAAGCACAAGGAAAAATCCAGCAGATGTGATTGTTTTTCTGTGTTGTTGTGGTGATTTGTCATTGTTATGTTATACGTCAGGGCAGCTCAATTTCAAGATACGTTGTTCTGCATAAAGCACAGCTTTTGTATCCTTTAAACCTTGGACCTTCCTAGTCCTGGAGGGTTGGTATTTCTGAAGGTTTTCTTTCTAGCTCGGGACTTCATCTAAATCAGCTCGTTATTGGCTTAATGGGACCATTCAAACAATTTCCAGCAGCTCTTCAGGTGCCTGTGCTTTGAACTGGCCTTGAAATGACACTGGCCTCCAGGATCAGGATAGCCCATCCCTACATTAACCAAGCTGCATTTTTTTTCTCCCTTGCCCTGAGTGAGCTGGGTTATTAACATTGCAGAAGTCTTACTTAGATAGTTCATCTCCGACGATGTTATGTTGCTTGGCTAGCACTCTCCCTGCCTCTCCAGCTGTGTGTTTGGGAGGATTAGACTGATAGACTGTCTTGTGGGGTCACAGAGGGCATATTATCTGCCAGGCGAAAGGGATGCTGCAGGATTCTCTGCTCCGGCGAATGTTAAGTGGTGTTAAGTGGATTAGCCTCGCTCCATCAAAAAAAAAAAAAAAACTGTCTCTGCAGGCTGGTCGAACCTGAATTGCGTTTAAAATAATAAATAACAAAGAGACAAGGCAAATTTACTTAATATCACCGGCATTCGTTTTTGGTCTGGCCGGCACAGTGGCCAGCCCCGGGTTCAATTCCAGACCTAGGGTGCTGTCTGTGTGGAGTTTAGAGATGGTTGGAAGGTCTTTGCTCTTTTTTTTTTTTAAATGCAGAGTGTTGACCTCAGACTGACACCTTCTCTGACTTTGTTCATGAAGGGCTGGTGCCAGTCTCATCCTGGATGTCGTGCACAGACTGCAAAAGCTACAGTGTCTGCATGTGGAATTTCGGAGTACATTGTGTCGCAGGCAGGGGATGAGTTAAGACAACTGACCTTGTCAGGACGCAGAGCTCTGCTGGTCTCTGTGCTGACCCTGTCCACCTCCATCCCTCATGTCTCCCGCAGAGGGTGTTCGGCGATGGCGAGAATACCAAGGTGCGTGTGGCCGAGCTGGAGGAGGAGGTCAAGACGCTGAAGAAAATCAACAAGGACCTATATGAATTCTCTTCACAGCTGCTGACCAAGCCCAGCTGAGGACTCCTCAAGAGAATGGGGCTTTAACCCCAAATTGGGGGGAGGGGGTGGAAACTTACAGCATAAGGGAGGCTGTGAGGATAGGATGATTTGAATTTTGTGGTTCCTACTGCAGTCAGGGGGGAGGGGGGGATTTTGGGATACCTGTCCACAAATGACAGAAACCATTTCGGTTCTTGCTGTACTACACTGCTGTACAGCTCCATGGGGCTGTTCAAAAGCCTTGTGTTCTCACATTTGCCCATTTGTAATTCTCAAAGGCCTGATCTGTCTGATGCATTGCCCCAGGCGTCACTCAGCGCCCACCTTTAAATTGACTAAGGCAATTAGAAAAAGCCCTGGCTCACTGACCCGTTTCATAATTCTACAGCCCTCAGCCTTTCGGAATTTAATTTTTCATAAAACATTCCATCTGTTCTTCCCTGAGAGAGGACTGTAGTATTCACGTCTCGCATGTAAATCATTCAACCAGCTAGTCAATAAAATATGTTCTACTACAGTATGCGTACTTCAAAAAAACGATTCGTGGGGATAACACCTATGCTCATCTTAAACAAGGCAAAAAGAATCTATGTATTCCTACTGCGTCAGCTTGCACAGCGAATGGAAACGAATGACTGCAGGATGAGATATAGTTTTATCGGTTAGTACTACTCTCTTGCCATTGCCTTTAATCCGCCCATGAATTATAAAGTGCCATTCAGAATTGACTAGTTTCCAGGCAGTCCCTGATACCTGTCAACCAGAACACTGCAAGTGCTGTTCAGCTTCTGCACGACACGGCGCTCCGAAAACAACAGATCTTTTCCTGGTAGATTTCGTGGCCCTGTTGGACTTGCCAGAAAAATAACTAAAATTGAACTGGTTTGGATGACCAGCCTACCTTTTCTACAGATTTACTCTCACTGGCATTCAGCAAATATTGAAAACAGCTGCCAGTTCAGACCAGTTTCCATTAGTGCTTTGATGGAAACCTACAACTGACTGCTTTCTAGCTATTGCAGACTGGTAGTACTGCAGACCCTTCAACACAGGGTCCCGTAACTGTGTTTTCTATTGAGTATTCACCTCTTTGTTGACTTAAATTAAGCACACTTAGATTGGGAAACGCAGGACTGAAACTGGAAAGTAGGGAAAGAGGAGTTGGTCTTGATGGTGAATTAAATGTGAGGATTCCTGTACAGTACATCGTGATTTGGGACTTGTCATGTAATGAGCTGTTTTTTTAATCAATTTTCCCCATTTTGCCTTCAAAATAAATAATTTGAATTTTCTTTTGGAAAATTCCACTTTTTTCTAACACTCCATTGTATGTGCTGAAATGTATTAAATTCAGTTTTCGGTCTTCTTAGAAACCAATCTAGAGATGCTGCAGGTAACACAATGGTAAGAATGGGGATTTCCAATGTACATATGCTATGAAAAACCATGCTCTGTACCTTATCCCTCCCCTTATCTACCTTATCTCCATTTTAAAGAGGAACAGACAACCCACACAGAAAAAAGAAGGGCAAAAGAAAACAGAATTGAAATGGATTTAATTCTGTTCTGGCTGAGCATTAAGTAAGTTGTGCCCTAAGGTAAGGGGGCGAGGATGTTTTTAAATCCAAATCGAAAAAACGCTCTGAGCAGAGCTAATTTAAATGACGGCCAAAAGGAACCTTGTTGTGTGGAAGAATAGGCAGGGACTGAGAATTGTGCAGAGCTCAAAAGGAGTAAAATGAAGGCTGGTGGGAGTGAGGTGTAGGAATCTGCCAGAAACAAGTCAGATGCTGTTAAAATCGAGCACACTTTCGCATGGCCCATGTTAAACTCATAATGTGAGATGAAAGGCTGCTACTGCCCACAACCTTTCGCCTGTTAATCTTCGTTCCGCAGGTTTGAGGGGGAGGATAATTTGCGTTGCCTAGCCCTTCCTGCAAGAAAACTATCTTTTGGGTGAAGCCCACAGTAGCACTGAGAAAATTTGAAATTGTCCAGTTGTCCTTCCCAAAGTTTTGGATTTGCATAAGATTTTTTCTGCCATTTGAAAGTGCATTTGGACAAGTTAACACATCAATGTTGTTGTATATACAGGTAAGCATCCTGTAGCCCTGGTGTTTTTGACAAGTTCTGATTTTTTGCCAAAACAATGCGTTTCTCGAATCTTGAAACATTCTCTGCATCTGATCATTTTAAAACTTGTTAAACTTGTGAACCTAATCTGATGTGATGTCTCTCATTCTTGGCTCCATCTAGACCCGTATGAAGTCATTTTCCAGCCCAGCGTCACCTTTCTGAGATCTCAATAATAGATCTCATCATTGTGAGCTATGCAGCAGAAATAGTTTGAACAAAATTGCAAGACAGTGTCAGCAAAGGTTGCAGCCTTTATGTTAACAGATGACCTCCATGCAATAGGACTACAACTCTACTGAATGTAAGATTTTGTTAGTTGAGCCGTTTTGGAGCTTCAGAAATAATTGAGGACTGAAGGAGAAAATGAGCCTGGGAAATAATGTTAGCAGAAGTGATGACAAGAAGAATGGGCAAATAGCAAGAGCTGAAATGAAAAGGCAGAGGGTGTAAATTGCATTAACTTGATGCTGATTGGGGTGATCAGGAGCTTCAATCGAACCACCAGCACAGCTGCAAGTGTTTGCATTAATCAATAGCTGGCTGTGCCTCGCAGTATAAAAGAGCTGTTTTGATACTCTTTCGATCGAGTGCAAAAGTTTAGAATAGATGTAATGTAAATGTTTCTCACTTCATCACATAACTGGTATAGACTTTGCTCCTGTGTCCATTTCAGATTTCCTCAGTTTTTGCTTAGGAATTGAGATCATATTTTACAGTTTATTGTTCTGAATTTCTTTATTGTTATTGGTAGGGTCAAATGCAACCTGAAATGCAATCTGTTCCCTAAATGCAGAAGGCTGTTAATCTTCTGCAGATGCTGGCCTGGTCTTGTACGACGAAACTGTAGGTTATCAAGTTTCTTCTGTACCGATGCTTTGCCTTCACAACTGTCTTGGCTGCCTGACCCATCGGACTGGTACATTTTTACCAGGAGAAATGAAATCTTGAGCTTGTTTTTTGGGGTTGTCTTACTCCATGTCTTGAGCTACATGTAGGCTTTTGATTGAGTTCATAAACATTTGGTGAAAGGGCAATCCACAACTCACGCAAAGCTGTCTGGGACACTAGACTTTCCTTCTCAGCATCCCTCCACCAACCCAGGTGGCTCTGCCTTTGAAGCAAAACCCATCGGTTCCCACCGCCTTGATCTCAAGGCCAGACTGTCTTCTCTCAAGTGAAGTGAGTTAAAGCCAAATTAATTTATGTCCTTAAATTCTTATTTAATAAACTTAACTGCAAATTATTTTTGGCAGAGTTGTCTATCTCCTGACCTGTAGATTGCGTTCTGAAGTTGAGCTATCGGTGTAGTTTTGACTTAATAATAACTGTAAAACACGCTTGACAAGACTAAATGAGATGTTCCAGTGGTAGGCGATACCAAGGTGACATTAAGGCCCAGATCAGCATGAAAACGCACCATATTCCAAGTTTCTTTAGACTTGCAGAATCCAAGATGAGGCTTTTAACTACCATGCTTAATAGACAGGTTGTCCAGTTGCTGATTCTCAGCTATCAGATTAATATGGATTCCACACTACATTGCATGTTTTTTTTTCTACAGATTTGCAGAATCAGTTGCTGTGATTTCCTGAAAATGAATAATTAAAACTCAAACCATTAATTCTGCAAAAGCTAATAATTTAGAGAATTAATGCTGCTTGCACCAGTTCTGTAAAATTCAAATGTTAAAATGGCTGGGGGCAAATTTATAACAAGTGATTGCTTGATGTTTTTTAAATGGCACTGAATGTTGTGTTGTGGTTTTCTTAATTAGGAAGCATATGGGTCTTTCATAATTTTATCTCTGCTTCAGTACACTATTATGGTCAGTATGACCACTGTGTTCCTTAAGGATCACGGTGAGTTGCAGTCTACCCTAGGAGGCACAGGGTTCGGGGCATGAGCACACCTTGCATGCTTTCTTATTTAGAAGGGTTTGGCTGCTTCAGGAATGTTCTACGAAGAAGCACTTCCAAACTGACTACTTTTGGTGTTGGCCTTACTCCATTGCAGTATTCATTTTTCTTGAATTCCAGATTGTCTTAAATCGGCTCCCCTAATCTTATCAACTGTTAGAAGGTGCCGAACCTTACAGATAATTGGTAATACTGTCACTTTAATAGATGACCCATAATTCAGTTAAGCCATTAAGCACGTGTTTAGCAGATGCTGATTAACATTAGTCTTGGAATACCTAATGTGATTTTAAGTATTAAAGTGTAAAACTTTACACAAGTGTAAAAAGTATACACTATAAAAAGTGTAAATCTTCATCTGTCCCTTATTATCAGTTGTTTTTCTTACCTAAATTAACATTCAATAGGCAGGTAACATGAATGCACTGGCCAGAGTTTAAGTGGAATTAAACCAAGGTGTCCAGATTTGGGCAAGATATGTTTCACACTGTTTTTAAAAAGCCTTTTATATGTGTATTCCAGGAAACATTTCCAGGGCTCACCAATTTTCAACAGACAGAAAGAGCTGCAACTTGAAAAGGCACTTAACACAGAGATGGTGTGGCCAAAGTGTCTCTTTACCTCTGTTTCCTTCGATTAAAGAATGAAAGATTTCACATGTTGGTGTCACACCTCATTTTGAAAACCAGATAATCCTGCAGCTGTGATGAATCAGGACTGAATCTTAGTGATAATGTCTAAGTCACAACTTTGCTTTTAGATAAAGTTATGAACCTTTTTTCTTGTAATTTTGCTGTTCTTGGATGCACATCTGCTCTGATCAATTTTATAGCATCGTGCAAGTTACATTGTCAAAGCTTTGTTACAGAATGTGCCTTTTCATGCTGTTTTATTTTTTCACTAATTTACCATGTTCTCTCGCATGTTAAACACACACTTTCATGCAGTCTACAGTATGAAGGATCAGATGGGTGTTGGGGGTAATTTGCCATTTTAACTGTAATCCAGGTTAATGGATGAAGTGTCCGTAATGACCTGCGACACTTTTTTTGCTCAAAGGTGGCTTTGAAATGCTCATTGTAACGATTACTTTGTTGTCGATTACTGACACATTGAGCTAAACAAGCGCCCTGGACAGAAACAATAACTTGAGTCTATAATCACACAGCTGGCCCTGTCCGTTGTTTTAAAAGAACTCATTTTAATTGCTGGTTTATCTCAAGCCAAAATAATCCCTGTAATAAAATGCTGGCTTTATCTTAGGCAGCAGTGATCGATCACTTTGTGGGTGTCACCATAATAAAACAAGGTCTCTCCTTGTACAATTGCGATCTCTGGGCAATCAATAGAGAATTACACTTCGTGGGAGGGGGTGGGGAGAGAGACTGCACACAAAGCTCTTCCAAATCAATAACAACTACATATTTTTATTATCGTTGCATAATGTGTCCTGGATTAACGACTACAGTGTTGAACTAGATTGTATCTAACAATAATGTTTACTAAGGTTTGTTCTTGGAAAACCTTTACATGTGCACATGGGCAGAAAGCTGCTGTTTCTCCTTTTCAGGTATTGTAGCCTGCAGTACAAATACCACAGTGTACCTGCAGAGTTTCATTTTGAAATCACACAGCAGAGGTTGGCGCAGTGGTCATAGGGTGCTGTCTGCGTGCACTTTGTATGTTCTTGTCCAAAAAAATACTGGAACTGTAGGTTCCTGGGAAGATTGGATTTGGTATGATTGTGTGAGTCTGTGTCTGTGTCTCTGCCCTGTGATAGACTGGCGTTCTTCCAGGATGTAGCCCACTTTGCACCTGTTGCTTTCTGGAATAGGCTTCAGCTACCCTGTAACCCTGAATTGCAAAAATGGATAAATGAATTATACAGCAGAAGAACAGTACTTATTTTGTGTTGTTTGTATGAGGGCTTCGAGTAACACAGACAGCTGTCTTAACATGTTCCAGCCACCTCTGTCTTTCAACACTGTAATAATTATCCTGGAGTGTAAAATTAAAAGAGGGCATTTTTTCTTTGGAAGCATTTCTCCTAAATTGGAAACATTCATTGAATCCAGAAAGTATATAAACAAAGACAATGAGAAGAAAGAAAGGTACAC